AAGACATCAGAAGATGGAAGGACCTCCCATGCTCATGGATTGGAAGAATTAACATTGTGAAAATGACCATCCTACACAAAGTCATATATAGATTCAACACATTGCCAATCAAAATCCTCATGACATTTTTTACAGAATTGGAAAAAACTATCCTAAGATTCATATCGAAGCACGAAAGACCTTGGATAGCCAAAACAACCCTGAGCTCTAAGAGCAATGCTTGGGGAATTACTATGCCAGATTTCAAGCTGTATTACAGAGCTATAGTCATAAAATCAACATGGTACTGGCACAAAAATAGACCCATAGACCAATGGAACAAGTTGAAGACCCAAATATGAGTAAATGCAATTTCAGCTACCTGATATTTGACAAAGGGGCCAAGAACATTAACTGGAGGAAAGACATCATGTTCAGCAAATGGTGCTGGCAAAACTGGATCTCCACTTGTAGAAGAATGAAACTAAACCCGTATCTTTCACCCTGCTCAAAAGTCAATTCCAAATGGGTTAAAGACCTCAATGTAAAGCCTGAAACTCTGAAACTATTAGATGAAAATATTGGGAAAAACCTGCAAGATATAGGCGTAGAAAAGGATCTTCTAAACCAGACATCAATTGCTCAGGAAACAAGGTCAAGCATTAACAAATGGGACCTCATTAAACTAAAAGGGTTCTGTACATCAAAGGAGACAACCAAGGAAACAAACAGAAAACCCACAGAATGGGAGAAAATTTTCACCAGCGACACATCCGACAGAGGTTTGATATCCTGAATATATAACGAAGTTAAAAAACACAGAACCAAGACAAGAAGCAACCCAATTAAAAGATGGCCTAAGGAGCTGAACCGAGAGTTCTCAAAAGAAGTAAAGATGGCTATGAAACATCTTAAAAGATGTTCAACATCACTAATAATTAGGGAAATGCAAAGTAAAACCACTTTAAGATTTCACCTTACCCCAGTCAGACTAAGATTAAGAAAACAAATGATACTAAGTGTTAGAGGGAATGTGGGGAAAGGGGAACACTCATCCACTGCTGGTGGTGCTGCAAACTGGTTCAACCCCTATGGAAAGCAGTGTGGAGAACTCTTTATGAACCTTCCATTTGACCCAGTTATACCACTCCTTGGTATATGCCCAAAGAACTCATGCTTTTGTGGAGACACTTGTACATCCATGTTTGTTGCTGCTCCTTTCACAATAGCTAAGAGATGGAAGCAACCTAAGTGTCCCTCAATTGATGAGTAGATAATGAAAATGTGGTTCATTTATACAATGGAGTTTAGTGAACAAAAATGAAATCATGAAATTTGCAGGTAAATGGATGGAAATAGAAACTGTTATACTAAGTGAAGTAACACAGACTCAGAAAAAAAATCGACATATGTTCTCCCTCATATGTGGGTCCTAGAACCAGACTCTGATAAATAAGTATGCCACAACACATAACTACAGGAACCAGGATAATGGGAAGGAAACAGAGAGGTAGAGGAAAAGAAATATCCTGAAAGAGCAGAACAGTAGGAGACAGGCCTTAATAAGGGAGATATGGATAAAAATTGGGTTAACTTAAGGGAGGGAGAGGGAAGGGTATACAAGGAACCTAGGGGATAGGGGGAAAAAAGGAGCTCAAGAGAGTTAGGCCTATAGGAGAAGGGTATTAATAAGGGAGAAAGGGGGGAAATGGGAGCACCTTAAGTGGGAAAACCACGATGGAGGGGTGAGACAATGCGAGAGATAAACAATGCCTAGCTAGTTCTGAAAACCAGAGGTAACCATATTACTCCTGCAACCTACTGCCAAATTATAGGTAGCAGATCAAGAAATATGTGTCTAGGTAGGGTTTATCTGAGAACACGTGGTCTTTGCTCAAGATTTATCTATATGACCCACAGTAATTAAAAATATCAGACTGGTAGAACTAACCTTGGGTGTTTAACAGTCATACTTTGAGGCCTATACTAATTTGGTCAGAGGGACATAAAGGAGAGTTTTTGCTCCTTTCCCTCCTAGGTCGACTAGTTCCAGGGGACTATGAGCATCTCTCAAAATGTCCTATAATGGTGGTGGGTCACCTGTCCTCTTTATCAAGGAGGCCGAGGAGACCCTACCAGATGGACTTGAACCAGTGTCCAGTCTACAAAGAAGAGAGTCAACACAGAGGAATCATTTCCTCCATGCTTCTAAGTGAAGCCATCCATGGTCGAGCAGGACCTTTGACTTCACATAGGTGGAACTAGAAAAAGGAGTCAGGGGCTCCTCCCAAGCCCATGTTACCCCGAGGAACAGATCCTCAAACGACCTTAAGCATAAAAATAAATCGGTTTATCTGGACCAAGTCTGTCTCCTTAAACACCCAAAAGCAAAGTATAACCAAACATTAAAGGGCCAATATAATTTCATAAGAGTCCATATGTATAGCTAAAGGCTACATAACAAGCAACAATGCCAGACAGGCGATACTTTCTTTTGAGTTGTTGGCCAGGGTGGCTAAAGGGATTCCCAGATAGTAATCCGGCATAGAACTGGTAAGTTGAACAGCAGACCCCAATCTTATCCAAAGGAATATTGACAACTGATTCCCACTAGATGAGGAACAACCTGCTGACCCTCCTAAAACAAAGACCTCTAGATAGGCTGACTAGATTCACCAGAAGGGCAAATATTGGGGAATAGCTGGGGGTGCCGATACCACAGCAGACAGTAGCAGGGATATAAGAGTATAAGGGCTCTAGTGGGAGAAGGGAGGCTATGGGAGAGTGCTATCTGGGAAGTAAGTGTAAAAAAAAGTTAACAAGAAATAATTCTTCAAAGCATAAAAATTTCCTCCTTAATAATTAGTAGATGTGAAAAACATTACCATTGAAATCTACCATTGAAATGACTATATATTCATGCTCAGTTGCCAGTGAGCTCAGAAAGTAACCAAGTGTGACTAGTAATAATCAGATATATATAGGTTAGAAATGTATGTGCATTTTAGTGTCAATTGTATTAAAAATGAAGTTTTCTGTATGAAACTGTGTATTTTAATAAAGAAATGGAGATCTTTTTTTAAAGTTTAAAACCTCATTTAATTTTATGTCTTATAGGGTTTAGACTGAGTACAATATTGTATAACTGTATTAATTCAACTGTAAACCCAAGAATTTACAGCCAATTTTGAAAGAGATGCATCTTAGCTCTGGAAATTGTTATTGACTATGTCAATGTTGTTATAATGAAATGCTTCTTATTATTATATGGTTATTAAATAAATAACTTAAAAAAAGTAATTGTTTTTATTTTATGTATATGAGTGCATTACATACCTGTATATAAGTGCAGTCATGTCTCACAGTTCCCACAGAGTTCAGAAGATGGTGTCACATCCCTGGAACTGACATTAACCATCGGTTGTTAGCCACCATGTGGATGCTGGAAATTGAACCTGGGTCCTTTGCAAGAACAGCCAGTACTCTTAACCGAGCCTTCTCTCCAGCCCATATAGCACACACCTTTACTCTCAGCACTTGGGGGGCAGAGGCAGCCGGACCTCTGTGAGTTTGAGGCTTGTCTGATCTACATAGGGAGTTTCAGGCCTGCCAGTGCTACATGGTGTCTCAAAAAGTGCAAACAAGGCAAAACAAGGGGCTAGAGTGATGACTCCAACTAACTGCTCTTGTAGAGGACCTGGGTTCAGTTCCCAGCATCCAAATAGTAACTAACAATTATTGTAACTCCAGTTCCAGGGAACCTGTGCCCTCATTTGATAAAGTAAATCAATCCAAAAATTTTTTTTAAAACTTAGAAGATTTTGTTAAAAAATAAAAAACAAAACAAAACATCAAAAACCTCAACCCCTCTTGCCATCCCTCCCCTCAAGAAAACTGTTCCTTATTTCTACCTTACAAATATTTTCTGTGTCTTACTAGATTGTGACTCTGAAGATCTTTTGGAAGAACTGCTCTGCAGCTTGGTGCAGTTAATCACTGATACTCCACTCTTGTAAGTTCTGGTTAAACCAGGATTTATCTTCTTTTATAATGAAAATAATTGATTGTGTTGAAGAGTTTCTGGTGTTTGTTTTTAAAATTTATCATTTATTTTTATTTTATTTGTATGTTTTCCCTGTATGTGTGTAAGTACAATATATGCATGCAATGCCCATTGAAGGCCAGAAAAGGGCATCAGATACCCTGGAACTGGAGTTACAGGCAGTTGTTAGTCATCATGTGAGTGCTGGGCACTGAATTCGTACCCTCTGCAAGAACAGCCAGTGCTCTTAACCATGGAGTCATCTCTCCAGCCCCATGAGTTTTATTTCATTTTTTCTGTGTGTGTGTGTGTGTGTGTGTGTGTGTGTGTGTATGTTGTATGTGGAGGGGGCAGTACACTTATCTGAACATGCATGTGCAGAGGCCAGAAGTTGACATTGGGTAGCTTTCTTAATCACTTTACCTGTATTTTTTGAGATACTGTTTGAGCTAGGCTGGTAGACACTAAGCCACCAGGGGATCTCTTCCAGCAGCACTGAGGTTACAGGTGTGTACTACCACACTGGGCTTTATGTGGGTGCTGGGGATCTGAATTCAGAAAACATTTTACCTACTGAGCCATCTCCCCAGCTCCATGCTGAAGTTGTGGCCTTTGGTTAAAAAGAAACAAACTTTTATTTTATGTATGCATGTATTCCCTGCATGTATGTGAGTGAACCTGTGTCATGCAATGCCCATGGAGGACAGAAGAAAGCGTTAGATCCCCCTGGATCTGGAGTTATGGACAGTTGTTAGCTGCCAGGTGGGTTCCTGGATTCTTTCCCAGGTCTTCTACAAGAACAGCCAATGGTCTTAACCTCTGAGCCATCTTTCCAGCCTGGTATCGTGTTTTTATGTATGCCGTTTTTTGGGTTTTTTTTTTTTTTTTTTCTCCACAAGTGTCTTAGAAGAGGCAGTAACTAAAGATGTCTTTACTATTCAGAGCTCGGCATGGTGGTGCAGGCCTTTAATCCCAGCAGTTGGGAGGCAGAGGGGGTTGATCTCTGTGAATTCAAGGCTAGCCTGGTCTATCAGGCAGCTTGGGGCTACAGGGAGACCCTGTCTCAAATAGACAAAAAAAAAAAAAAAAAAAGAGAAGCCTTTATTATTCCAAAAAGAAAGCAATAAAATCATCATCGCAATATGTGTACCTTTTAAGGATAATGGTTCCATGAAATTCTTTTGTATTTTTTGCCTGCTAATATTTATATTCTGTCCACCATCAAGATAAGAATTCCATGTTAAAGGAAAATGATCAAACCCTTTAGCAGTATTAAACAGATTACAGGCACAGAATTAGATTAATTTTTATAAGAGATCTTACAGGTCTCTGGAACAGTTTGAGAGAAACCGTTTGAATATAATCGGTGTGTGGGAGACAAAACAAAACGACCATGTAGTATTCTCTCTTCTCCCTCTGGCTTCTTGGTTTTGTTTCTGGTCTGCTTTAGAAAGAACAGACTTTTGTTCCTAGTTTTCTTTGAAGCTAGTGGAAGGCTCTCCAGTGAGACTTCTTAGTTAAAATTCTTCACAGGGAACTTGCTCAACATATGGTTTTATTCCTGACAGCCTTTTTCCTGCTGCCTGGAATGTAGGCAATGTCTTTTGAGTTGCATGCCCATCTTGGCACCATGAACCAGGAGTCTCAGAGAAATTTTACTTTGATGTCATTGAGCTGCTGAACCAAAGTCAACAACTGCCACTCCCCCTCTCTCACCCTGGACTTTGCATGTGACAAAAATAGACCCTTGTTTGTTGATGCTGTTGTAACTGGGTTTTGATCATGGAAGCTCAATGCAGTTCCTACATGATTCAGAATGTCTATTTGTAGCTTTTAATGCAGTAATTATTACCTGTTTAAAAAACTGTTTTCACTAAGAAGCATTGTTAAGCATTTCTTTCTTCATTGCTTTCTTCCATTCATTTATTATGTGTTTCTATACTGGGGCCTTTTGGAAGGCCCCAGACCTTTATAATATTTCAGGTGTTCTTCTATTCCTGAAGAAGCAATTTTCACCCCTATTGAAAATGCACTTTTAATTTGATCAATTAATTTATTTTTAAGACAAAGTCTTACTATGTTGTCTAGACTGGCTTCAGATCTCAATCCTCCTTCCTCAACTGAGTAGCTAGGATGAGAATGCATATTTTGTTATATTTTCAAATTACATCTATCCATTCATTCGTTTATTGCGTGCATGTATGTATGTATGCATGTGCCATGCACACGTGTGGAGGCGCTTGTGAGTATTGCTTTTCTCCTTCTACCTTGTGGGTCTTAGAGATCAAACTCATGTCATCAGTCTTGGCAGCAAGTACCTTCACCACTAAACCATCTTGTTGGCCCCAGAGAATGTTTTTGAAACAGGGCCTCACACATCACAGGCTACCCTGGACTTTATTGTATATCTGAGGATGACTTTGAACTTTTGATCCTCTTGCTTCCACCTCTTGAGTACTGAGATCATGAATGTGTGACACCATGCCCAATTTATGTGGTGCTGGAGACTGAAGTCAATTATTAATATTATTATTATTTTGTTCTGGGGGGGGTTGTTTTCTTGTTGAGACAGGGTCTCCTTATAGCCCCAGCTGGCCTGGAATTTGCTGTGTAGACCAGGCTGGCGTTGATATCACTGAGATCTGCCTGCTTTTGCCTCCCAAGTACTGGAATGTGCCACCATACCTGGCCAGGAATTATTTTTAAAATTTCATTTATTTTGTTTTATGTATATGAGTGTTTTGTCTGCATGTATATAAATGCATCCATGTTGTACAATGCCCATGGAAACCAGAAGGTGCATCAGATCCCCAGGAACTGGAGTTACAGATGGCTGTTAGCAGTCATGTGGGTTCTGGGAACCAAACCTGAATTCTCTGCAAGAGCAGTCAGTACTTTTTTTCAAAAAAAAATTTAGGCTGGGTGTGGTGGCGCACGCCTTTAATCCCAGCACTCAGGAGGCAGAGGCAGGTGGATCTCTGTGAGTTCAAGGCCAGCCTGATCTACATAATGAGTTCCAGGACAGCTGGGGCTACAGGGAGACCCTGTCTCAAAAAGACCAAAAAAGACATACTTTGAGGCCTATAATAATTTGGCCAGAGGGACATAAAGCACAGTTTTTGGTCCTTGCCCTCCTAGGTCGACTAGTTCCAGGGGACTATGAGCATCTCTCAAAATGTCCTGTAATTGTGGTGGGTCACTTGTCCTCTTGATCAAGGAGGCCGAGGAGACCCCACCAGATGGACTTGAACCAGTGTCCAGTCTACAAAGAGGACTGCAACACAGAGGAATCATTTCCTCCATGCTTCTAAGCGAAGCCATCCATGGTTGAGCAGGACCTTTGGCTTATCTTTACATAGGTGGAATTGGTAAAAGAAAGGAGCCAGGGGCTCCTCCCAAGTCCATGTGACTCCTGAGGAACAGATCCTCAAATGACCTTAAGAGTAAAAATAAATTGGTTTTTCTGGACCAACTGTATGGCTTTAAACATCCAAAAGGAAAGTATAACCAAAGATCAAAGGGGCCAATATAATTTCTTAAGAGTCCATATGCACAGCTAAAGGCTACATAAGAAGCAACAATGGCAGATAGGAGATACCTTTTTTTGAGTTGTTGGCCAACGTGGCCAAAGGGACTCTCAGATAGTAACCCAGCATAGAACTGGGAAAATGAACAGCAGACCCCAATCTTACCTAAAGGAATATTGACAGCTGATTGCTGCTAGATGAGGAACAGCTGACCCTCCTAAAACAAAGACCTGTAGATAGGCTGACTAGATTCACCAGAAGGACAAGTAGTGGGGAATGGCTGGGGATGCCAACAACACAGCAGACAGTACCAGGGATATCAGAGTATAAGGACTCTAGTGGGGGGAGGGAGGCTATGGGAGGGTGCTATCTGGAAAATGGTTGTATAGTTGAATAAGATGGTTTGGGGTGTTCTGTGTGATACACACACACATACACACAAATCAACAAATTTTTAAAAATGTATTATATTTGAGGAGGAAGCATGGAAATTTCTGTCATGCTAATTAGTAGAGGTGATAAACATTACCCTTGAAATCTACCGGATGACTTTATATGCATACACAGGCACCAAGGATCCAAGTGCAACTGATTATGACTAGTAATAATTATATACATGGTCAGATGCCAAGGAGCTCAGAAAGTAACAGACTGTGACTAGTAATAATCAGATATATAGAGATTAAAAATGCATATGCAGACATCTTAATGTCAATTGCATTAAAATGAATTTTTCCATATGAAACTATTTTAATAATGAAATGGAGATCTTTTTTAAAGGTTAAAAACTCATTCAATTTTAGGTCTTACAGAGCTTATACTGAGTTCAATATTGTATAATGGTATTAATTCAACTGTGAATCTAGAAACTTGTACCCATTTATGAAAGAGGTGTACTCTTGCTCTGGAGTGTGTTACTGAATATGTTAAAGCTATAGTGAAATGCTCCTTCTAATCATGTAGTTATTAAAAATTTAAAAAATGATTAAAAAAATAATTCTTCAAAGCATAAAATTTTGCTCCTTAACAATTAGTAGATGTGAAAAACATTGCCATTGAAATCTACCTGATGACTTTATATCCATGCTCAGATGCCAAGGAGCTCAGAAAGTAACCAACTGTGACTAATAATAATCAGATATATAGAGATTAAAAATGCATATGCAGACATCTTAATGTCAATTGCATTAAAATGAATTTTTCCATATGAAACTATTTTAATAATGAAATGGAGATCTTT